CCAATTAAAAATTGATATAAATTTTGATGAGCAGATAATCACCGCGCCATTGTTGCGAGGATCTCCGTTGCGTCAGCAAGAACTTTCAAGGTTCTTGTGAAAAAATCCTTTGGTCATCGTAAGTCGTAAAGAATTCTGCACCTTGGGAAATGAGTAGAATAATGTAGAGGCCTTAAACGGGCACTAACCTCGATCGACGCTTATCGGGCGCCATCTTTTCTTCCCCCAACATAACCTCACTCAAGCCAACTTAGCCAACTTAGCCCAACTTAAGGTGAAATGAAACACGTTGAGGAACTTGATCGACGTCGATAAAACAGGTTTTTCTACATGCCTCCATCGCCGACGCTCGTTTTTATATTCACAGGCGTGTCGAATTATATTGAGTATTGTACTAAATGGCATACTCCATCTGTCATTTTCGTGCAATAATTATAAAGAAGTCGAAGTAAATCCTCTGGATTCATGCTCGATTACCAGACTGCTCTAAATTGTCGTACAATTGTTCTGACCCTTTCGTTTCTCATATTAGAGCTTTCAATAATTGGAGGTCGATTGAAATATGAGAGCTCATTGTAGTTCTGCTCTGGGCTAAGTTAAAAAATTCTTTAAAAATATGCAAATGTTGAAAATGTCAGGATAATTCCTAGGTACATGTGTCAAAGTTTCAGGCAGCTCTATCCAATGCCCTTAAAAAAAGTGTTTTATTCGAGGCGACTGATTTGAGGGGGGTTTCACTTCACCTTAAAACCCACGATTTCATGAGCGAATAATCCTTCGATGCGACCTTCTTAATCCAAATCCAGGGAGCGCCCTTTGCGGGGCACCAACCGGAAGTTCTTGATTCAAGACCTCGGCACTAGGTTAACGGCTCCGTTGTTTCGCGGAAACGAAAGGAGAATGCGTGCACGTAATACTCCAGACACTTTTTGTCATCAGACTAGACTCGCACGGCGGTCTCTTAAATCTCGAGGTTTTCCATACCGGTCGCAATTATAACTGGATTTTCAGTCCTACCTGCAATTACGCGTTCTGGGATGTGCCATTAACGTCGGTATATGGTTGCGAGAGTTTTTTCCTAACCCCTTTAAATAGTTAGGAGTAAAGTATATCCCAGTCAAAGTCACGCACTTCGACGTTCCAGTTCTTTTTCCCCGGGACCAGTTTCCTCGTGAAACGTAATCGCTTCAAAATACATTAAGGGTTCGATCGAGATAGTGTAATTTTTTTCATTTCATTACTATTTATAGTAATTTTTCGGTGTTAGAATTCAATTTACGTAAACGTTTTCGCTAACGTCAGTGCATTATTCTCTCATTGAATCATTTACATTTAAAGTTGAAATAAGAACAGTATAAGTGAAAAAAAAAATTATTATATCCAAATCCACCGATATCGAACACATAAGGGCGTTTCATGGAAGAATAATTAAGAGTAAATTAATGATATCTAATAGTTTTCTTTGACTTTTAACTCTTTAAAACTCATAATAAAGGTCGCGACCATGCATTGTTTTTTGCAAGGTGGTATGTTTCCCATAGGACATAATTCTCGTTCCTTTCGATTATCGATGCCGGGCTGATCGATGCAGATGAAATTGTCTACTTCGTTAGGGGTTGCGCGTAATTCCGCGACTTGTGGTTGTTAACGTTAAGGTCTGTACTCGATTGGTTCCGCGGGTAACACGGTCTGTTGTATGAGCCGATAAATTACATCTCGCCATGATTCTCAGTGTTGCGACAATCGATTTATCACTACCTCGAGCCGATTTACGAGGCCCGTTGAGTAGTTCAGGCACTCAGGTACAATGACGTACTATCGATACCTCCTTCGAGGCTGATTATAAACCTTGCTCGCCAGCGCGCTCCTCGTCGGAGGTATTTGCGAATCGAGAATTCAAATAAGAATAAACGAATATGAATTCGCCCTCGCATTCCCCGGGCGTCTTTACGATAATGCAATTAATCGTAGAAATTCTGCAGGTAAGACGTATTCCCCTATTTCTCATTCACGGGATTCCATCGTTAAACGGCATCGCATCGGCCGAGAAATCTGCGAATTTCCATAGGTGAACCTCGCATCTCCAATTTATTTAAATAATTTTATACGAACCTATCCAGCATCTCCTGCGTTAGGATTTATTCTATTCACCTTCCCGAGGCTTTTGTTGGGATTGCACTATTTTTTTTTTCTTTTTCTCATTTCTTTACAGTACATTCTGATTTTTCTACGACCATGGGTAGTCCGAGAAAATGTGGTTGTCTGGATTTTTTCGGTTCCTGGCAAACCCTGACCGGCCCTAACGTATTCCAGGACAAACCTCGGGAGCACAAGTCAGGCGAAGCCTGGATTTCTACTTTTTCATTCCAGGAGATGGCTGCAGGACTTTCAAGCATCCGTGATGCCGGTACTCGCCGTTCGAATCCTTGCTTCGATCCGATATCGGGGATCGGCGATTCGTCTCGTTCATGGCCGATCTGCGACCGCTTTACGCCTGCATCCTCTTCGGGCATGGTCGTTTTACCCATCCGTGAAGTTACGATTTTAAGATGGCCTCTCATAAAGGGGATGAACGAGCAATCGTAAATCCTTCGAGCCTGCTGATTCCATACCGTGATATCTGGGTGGTCGACAATTGCGCGAGGAAAGTCGATTAAGTCGTCATCCGAAGAAATTATTGAATCGTACAAGGCCGTTGCAGAGTCGCGGGGCTTTGATCCTGATGTAAGCGGCAGATGTTTCAAAGTGATCAAATAACTTAAGAGGGGTTTCATCTTCGAGAGTTCTAAAAATAGGGGTATCCCATAGCAGTTTTCTTGTTATTTCAAAAAAAAAAAAAACGTATATGTGGAATTTTAATGACTTGTCTGGAGTTTTTTGAGCAACATTTTCCAAACTTTCGCTGAAAAATAATCACATCGATAAGTTTGTCGGTGGTTCATATAACTTTTCAAATGTGCGGTCACCCACGATTCCTATGATTTCAGAAGTTCCATTGATGTAAATTGAATGCAATTTCTTCAAGATCACCTGCAGTTAGTCGCAATTTAATCAGGACCTCTCTGACCTTATTTACGCGCTCTAATCACGGGATGATTTTGAAACGGCCGTGAATGAATAATATCTAGAGAATATACCTCGTCATCGGATCGTTTGCGATGAAAGCCGATCGGTAGTCCGTTTGGATCAGACCCTGACCTACCCTGAATTGCAAGTTACCTTCGCCTTTGTCATCCTTATAATTGCATTCCATTAGAGGATTGTGTCTTGCAACCACGGTCGACCTTTAGTACATCCGAGAACGTTTACTCACACGTCATTTATCAGATTCCGTTCCTCGCCTTGCAGCTTTTCACACTTCATCCTGTATCGAGGCCTTCATCGATCCCTGGCGGAACTTTGACACGGAAGCCCCGTTTCCTATTCAGGGAGCTGCACTTTCCTATTCAGTTGCTGCACCCGGATGCAGATGCCTCGAAGATTGCTTTACTCTGTCTAGAACATTTATATCCCCTTGCAATGACTCAAGAAGCGACGATGATTAGGATCTGCCTAATCGTATTTGCTGGTCTCTTTATTTTCGCACGCCAGTCTTGGTTTACAATAGAATGACCCCCATGGCCCAAAAGCTCTATTATCGTTGCAATTACAATCCCGGCCTTTACAACTAGGAAGTTGGCTGGTAATCACCCACAGAAACAGCCGTTGATTCAATTAGGATTGATTTATATCTAAATCGCCTGATTCGACAAGTCATTTAGGGATCAGAATTCAGATTGCCCACTCAATGAAGACATCCGCCGTGAACTTTCTTCTTTCCCGACGGGACGATAAGTCCCTATCTCGAAGAGACGAAGAATCGCGCAAGCAATTCTTTGTTAACCTTGCACGGCCACGTGATAACTGGAAGTTCCGGGGGATTTATTCCACGCTTTCGAATGGGATTTATTATACGGACGGCGATTCATTCAGGAAAGTTGGGAGTTGGGCGAAATGGGGATCTACTGGCGGATGTAAATCGTATGGTAATTTGAAATTGTGCAGAAGTAGGTTGGAGTACGTGCGTTAAAAATAAAAGAAACTAGGCTTTTGTGGACGATTTATTGATACGTTCGGTTTTTATACGGGGGTTTTGAGGCTAAATTTGAGTCGATGTTTTGAATCTACTTATGCCTCTAATTATAGATCTTAAATGGGTCTTAATATAATATGAAAAAGGGTATCCGAGTCGAAACTTAGTCCTACTTAAAACCTTTATTTGTAGGCCGCAAATGTGTTTTCAGATAATATCGGGTCCTGATCAGGGCCCTATTATCATTTCTACTCGCGAAGTAGGACCTGACGATTGAAATAGGACCAACATAGGGCTTACTTGTGTTATACAGGTTCAAAGCAGGGCTAAGATTTCGACTCAAGCAGTATCGACGAAGAAACTGTCGTCGTTCGACGGCCATCTTGGACGGGATTATTGTCGTCCGATTTGTCCCGACTTAATGCCGGGATCGATCCCGACGTTCGCGTAGCTGGCACGAAACTTTGTTCACCGCTGAACCGCTTCGTGTCACGCACGAAGTTCTCTTCCGTTCGAAACACAGCGAAGAAGAAGTTACCGGCGGTTAGATGAAAGCAATCGGTGAGGAGGCGCGACCTACTTTTAATTTTGGAGGGCCGTACCAGCCACTCTCACGTGACCCAGCCGATCCGCCATTACTTGCGCATCTCCGCGTCGTCTCGGCTGTTTCCCCCCTTGGCGTGCACTGGAAACTAGAAATATTTAATAACCAACCGATCCAGGCATTAATATAAATGAGAGACTTTCCGCGGATCTAATTTATTCCCACTACATCCGCATTACATTCGCTCAACATTAGAAAATATCCGAAAGCGTTGTCGCCATATTGAAAATGCACACTTTTGCTTGCTTTCATCCCGAATACCTTAAGATAAAGGGAAGCACCGATAGCGGAGTAATTAACCGGCAATTTTCGTTCCGTTTCCAGCAGTGCAGCAGCGGCCTGACGGAAGGCGCCGTGGTGAGCGTCGGAGGTGGCATGGACTGCATGCCCCTGCGTCCCGGGCCGTTCCACTACCTGATAAGCGAGCAGGCGAAGTCGCTGGTGGCCCTCCAGGAGTTGCAGAATGAGGTGGGCGCCCTCCTCGAGTTCCGGGACCTCGTCATCGAGACGTTCCCAAACCTCCGGCACAAGATGGCCGCCTCGGCGTCCACGTCCGCGTCCGTGACGGCATCAGCGCCGACCTCCCAGGTGCCGCTTCCGCTCTCGAGCCCGTCCTCCAGGAGGATCGCCGAGTGGGAGCCGGGGAAGGTGAGGCGGCGCGCCGCCCGGGAGGGCGAGACCTCTTCGGGGTCCTCGCTGCCGAGGAGTCGCAGCAACTCGCACAGCGGAGGCAACAAGAACAGCGCCACCGTCCAGGACTCGGGCTTCAGCACCGAGACGTCCTCCAAGGACAGCGCCTCCACGGCCATCCCGAGGCCGGCGAGTCCCAGACAAGTCCTGGACGAGGCCGAGGACGAGCTATGGAACCTGCTGGACGTGATCCACCGGAAAGGCGTACGGCTCCGGGAGGAGGTCGAGTCCCTTCAGGGTCGGCTGGAGAGCGCGGCCCCGGAGGAGCTGAGGGTGTCCGGGGACGCGCTGGAGGCCGCCCGGAAGACCATCCGGACCGAGGGGGCCGGCGACGACGTCTCCGAGGAGTCGAACCGGGCCCAGGTGGCGGCGCTCCGCAGGGAGAAGGAGCAGCTCCTGGACAAGGTTGCCGAGCTGGAGGCAGAGACCCTGTCGAGTCGGGCCCGAGCTCAGGAGCTGCAGACAGAGCTGGCGGCTCTGTCCGCCCTGAGGAACGGCCTGGAGGACCGGCTCCGAGCCGGGCTGGAGGTCTTCGCCCCCGGGGCTCAACGGGCGCAGCCGCCGGCTGCCGTGCCCGCGTCCTCGCCAAAGGGCGGCGTCAACATCAGGAGCAAGACCTCCGCCTTCGCTTCCGTGGTCTCCAACAAGGCCCATAAGAACAGGTTTAGGACGAGGACCATAGAGAGGAACGTCCTGGCGAACCTGACCCTCCCGCACGAAGCCGAGGTCGATGTGGAGGCCGGCGTCAACGAGAGGAGGGCGCGGCTGGGGGCGCTGGACTCGGTTCTGGTGTCACCCACCAGGGTGGCGAGAGTCAAAGATGTCGACTCCACCAAGATTGCCGCCATCTTGCGGGAACACTCACCTCTCGAGCTCCAGAGGCACCTAATCACGACCACCGTCCATAATCAGGTGAGACTCAGAGAACCGTAATCTTGGATTATGCGAGCTACACGTGATCTGTAAATTCTCTTCAACCCAAAACTTTGTTGCTTAGATGCTAGGTTTGGTCCGGTCCGATTTTAGGTACGACAATGGGTCCTAGCTTGCGAGTTCTGATGATATCTTGCTATTGCAGGTCCTTCAGAAGCGATTGGACGAAGTACAGAAGAGCACGGAAACCCTCTCGGAGAAACTGGACAAGGTTCGCGACGAGAACGACGACCTGCGGTTCCAGGTTGGTAGCGTTGGCTAAAAGTCGTAGGAACGTCGACGGGCGTCTAGGTCGCCATGATAGAAGCACCTGTTTCTTGACTCGAATGACGATTTCCCTCGATCCACAGCTAGACGAGAGAAACATCGAGCTAGAGGGAACCCGCGCGAGAGTCAGGGTACTGGAGCGACTTCAGCAACGAGCTCCCACGGAGACGGAGCCAGAGCTGGAGTCGGAGCAGCCTAGATGCGAGCAGAGCGGTCTCGAGCCCGGAAGTAGCACGGAGTCGGCCCGGGACCACCATCAGGCCATCGAGGTGAAGCCGTCCCCCCGACGTCGCCCTAGTCGAATCCCGCTTCCCGGGACCAAGGCTGCCGCCCCGAAGCCTCCGACTCACGGGAGACACGACAGCAAGGAGTCGCTCAAGTCCCTGACGAGGCCTCCCCGGGACTCTAGTCGAGACAGCCTCGGAGGCAAGTCGCTGTCCAAGGCCCGCGACTCCAGCAGGGAGTCGCTGACGAAGAGCCTACAGAAGGGGCCCAAGGACACCAGCCGAGAATCCCTGACGACCGCGACGGGGACGACGACGACGAACAAGTCGTTGCCGCGCAATAATTCCAGTCGAGACTCCCTAAACAAATCCTCCTCGCTGTCCCGCACCCGAGACTCGCTGGAGTCCGGCAACCCGGGGACCTCCTCCGGGACTCCTCCTCGGCGACCACCTGCTCCTGCTCGCCGATCCCACAGTCTAGCCCGACCTCCCGTCGATACCGACACCAGCAAGGTACGACCCGTAAGGCACTTCTTCTGGAACCTGCTGAAGTCACCCCTGTCTAACGGTCAGACCTAGTAGAGCCGGGCCTAACGCTCTTTAGAGATACGTAGCCGCTTCTAACCTCGACCCTCCCCGTGACCCACCCCACGGGTCAGCCGAGGCGCCGCTACCGCCGCTAGTACCGCAACGACTACTTCTTCCTCCGTTGATAACACCCTAGCAGCAAGGACCCAGCTCTTAACGTGCCACCCTAACCTCCGTTTCAACCCCGTCCCCTCTTCCCGTCCCTCCGACCTCGCAAGTAACACGGTAACGTATCCATTCTACCGCTACTCTGCTACTTTCGTCTCGGATGGCGAAGACTCGGCAGCCGGCTTCGACTAAACGCCGCCCCGAATCCCGAGGTCCCGATCCTCGTCCGCAGCTCCCCGTGACCATCCAGGATTAACTCGAGGCGCCAGTGCGCGAGCGCCGAGGACCCCGAGGAGCCGGGCCCACCCTGAAGACACCGTCCTCCGGCCGCTTGTGGACTGGCGACTTCCGTCTCTCTATCTCTCAGTTCTGTCACTCTTCCGTTTTGTACACACGCCTCTACCGACCGATATCGAGATGCTGGACCGACGATCCGACAGTCGCATCGACCGCTCGTTGTCGTATCCGACGACCGACCGACCGCCCGAACCAACCGAAAGTCCGATCTGGAGCGCAGGCGAGCGTGCGTTCGAAACAGGCCCCTCCGCGCGTCCGTCGGTTTCTCGTAAGTTATGCTTATTTTATTATCATTTGCTTCGACGCTTGTCTCTTGGATGTGGTGAGCTGGTGCCCGCTGATCTTCGCCCTGACCCTTCCCACCTGTAGTGCGGTAGAACCCACCCGACTGGACCCGGCATGCGTGCACGCACGGAATTCGAGGAGCTGGTCGACTCGCCCACCGACTTGTTCCAGGTTCGCAGTAGGTACCTGGTCACCCGTTAGGCCTCGCTCGCCTAATCGTCTTCCCCTCGACTTCTGTTTACAGCCGAAAGGAGGCTGCAAAAGGGGACCGGCGATCCTTGGGATCTGGCTACCGGTCCAGCTCCCGGCACCGTTTCCAGAAATCTGCGACCGCCCCACGTCGCATCCTACCATGAAGCGACTTTGTTCTCTCGCCGGCAAGAAAGTACCGATTCGACGCCTTCTTGCGAGCGTGTAACCGCGAGATCGACCAGGGGACCGGCGTTTCGTGTGGTCGTTTTCGTTGATAGAGCTACGCGAAGCCCGATGAGCGAAGCAAACGAAGCGTAGAGCCCCTTGTCCTGGACTTTCTCCAGCCATCGAAAGTCCTCAGCCTCGTTTGCTTCACCTCGTCCGCGGATGTTCCCCTGGAATCGGAGCGAGTTGACGCTACCGGCGCAGATTTCGAAAACGGTGCTCGGGAGGGTCACGGATCGTTCGGTCGACGATACTAATCGCGATATTCTCCTGACCGTAGCTGCCGAGGGTCACGTAGGTACGTACTTCCAGGTGCTTCCCCTTGCTGTGTGGAGGTTAAACGTAGCATGGCAGTAGAGGTAGTTTGTTTTACCACTTAGTGTCAAGCCGTAGAACGTGTATCCGCTCATAATGGCCGTGCAAGGGGCTGATCTCATCATCAACGTCCATCCCGCCTACTTGTTCCTCCATAATCGATGCCGGTCCCCACCTCGGTTCGCCACTCTGGTACCCCGCTCTCTCTCTTGGCACCGTTGCTCTTTGCACGTGGACGATCGTCCAAACATTCGACACGCAGCTCATAACGCTTTCAATCCCATCTTACCACCAGTCCAAACACCACGAAATTCCCACACCATGCTCCCGGTAGCTTCGCCTTCTGCAACCGGCCTCGAAGTTCACTTCCGAGGGAATCTCTTCGGCTCCGTTTTACCCTTCAACGAAGATACGACGAATTAAGGGTACTCCTAAAACTGCCTATCTACGGCTGATCCGTAATTTCTTCGGAGCGATCGGCTAGAAGTTGTTCGAGTCTCGAAGAGATCCTACAAGCCGAAGCTACCAGGAACCGAATCCAATCTCCTCGTCATGTTCCGATCTCGTCCTAGCCGTTCGATGTTCGCCTGGCGAGTCCTTTCCATAAGTTCGCCGTTTCATTTGCTGGAGTTAGCTCTTATTTTGCCGGCATTCGCCGAAAGGACGTTGGACGTGGTCGCGAGTTAGAGGAATGAGTTACGGTGGCACTCGCCCGACTCGCCCAGGGGAGAAAAATGCGAATCTCGAGCACACGCTTAACTGCTTGGCCTGCGACTCGTTGCTCGTTCTAACCGCGCAGACGGAGGTACACGACTCGGGATCTGATTTACAGCCTTATCTTTAAGCGTGCCCCGTCGCTTTTTTGTCGAAACGTCCCGGCCTGATGGGGCTATCGCCCGTTATTGATGGTAATACTCACCGATACCTCTTGGCAGGGCCATTTCTGCCGATGTTGATTTATAAGGCCGCCAATCGCGTGTAGGGGTAGCGATTCAGGTTACGCTTGGCCAACATCCGGACGTTTCATTGTTGGTCGCGTTGCACGAGGTTCCACGGCGAGCACTCGGTCATTTTCCGACCGCCACTTAATTCGTCCAACTGTTCATTAGGTCGGCCGCTCGCTTTTCGTGTGGCTTTCCGCATTACGGAAGCAAATTTACGACCAGACTGCTGCCAATTGTCGATTACTCGGCAGCGTTGACTTCTTTCCGAATCGTGTTCAACATATCTCCACCATTGGCTGATATTCTGAAAAATTGATAAAATACGATCTGGAAAAGATTTGTCAAGTTTTAAAAAATCATGGGTTTGGGCACGTTCCTTCGGTTGGTTTACGGACATGGTGCTGGAACCGATCCAGGGAATTGTCCAATCGGAAAATTGGAGAGATGTCGGATACTAGGCTGTTCTGCGGTAGCGTATTCAATTATCGAATCCATTAAATTTTTGTAAATCAATCGCAAAACGTCTCCGCTACTCCGACACTTTCTCAGGTATGAAGATCGCCATCTTTCCGCGGCCAAGGCACGGTAGCACATTTCTCTGCTCCTACTATCTTTCTCTGCGCAATCGATGGGTTTACGAGCTGCTTCGGCACTCCTGGATCGTTTTTACCTCTCTGGTAGACCTTCAAAATAGGATGAAAAAATACAGCACATTCTAAGCGTCTCGAAGTTAACGTTCGTGCAATTGGGTTGCCGTAATTTCACGCTCGTCAGCTGGTATCTTTCTTCTCTAAATACTGTAAAATAGTAGACGAACGCATCCGATCGGACACTCCTATTGCAATGGGATGCCGATGAAGGATGGATCGTGACCAAGGGTATGAACTATGATTTGTGACATTTTTCAGGGATTCACCGGTCCTCCGAGTTCCTGGTGCTCGACGAGTGGGAGCTTCCGGCACAGCGATTCGTCCTTGTACCCGGACTCGCTGAATCAGGAGACTTCGTCGGTCACCGGATCAACCAGGGTGGAATTCATCATCGGATCGCCCACGAGACGATTCAGGACCAGTTCTGCTTGGCCACCTCGGTACTTTGATAGCATCGATTCGGCTGCCATACCTGCTGAGAGTCTCCTGACCGACGAATTCCCTCTCAGAAGGGGCGAGGCGCTGGCTGACTGCGATTCCTTGGAATGCCACCCTATTTCCAGCGAAGGATAAATTTTTGCGATTAATCAACCGTTGTCATAATTCGACTAATCGGTCTCTCTAAACGATCGGACACTGCACGGAAATTCGGAAACTCTCATTACCTCGAACTCGTTGTGAACCCGTGAATGTACGTAGAAAAGGTCGCAGACGTTCAATGTGACCAGATCCGTCTTAGAGATGAATTATGATTTTGGATAGATTTTCCTTTTTTTTTAGAATAATTCTTGCGACTCCAGTTCGTTCGTGTAACGTCCTCGTCGGAATCGGTGAACGGATAGTCTAGAGATGGTTGGTGTGGCCACGGGGATATTTTTCCAGGACTGAATTAGTTACTCGGTCTATGGGGAGTCTTTCAACCGATGAATCTCCATTTAAGTCTGACAAGACTCTGAATGAGATTCGTTTGAATGAGGCGGGGCAGGGTGCAACTCGCCATATCCACTTTTTAATGTAGCATTTATTACGAACTCATCCTTTTCGGTATCCAGTCAAGGTAGATGTGTAATATTCATTTTCATCTAATTTAGAAATATCTTTTTATACTTCGTTTTTTTCTTTTATTTTTTCTTTTTAAGAGATCGTTAAAAGTGGATAAGTCGAGTTTCATCCTTCCAAGCTTCAAGTGTCATCCCGTTTCCATCAGAGAATGGTAAATCATACTACGAAAGGTTGTAAAAAATCTATCAATACTGGATTCTCACATTCAGTGACGAATTTTCAGGGAGTCGTGCACGTTCCTTTCTCAGTTTCGCAGCAGCACCAAATTTCTCTATGTAATCTCATTATGTGAGAGTTCATTTCCTTCAGATTTTTCTTTTATATTGGCCTCTAGTTATGTGACTTAGACGTGAAAAGTCGTGTAATGGAAATTTATTGTCTTCTCGTTTTTTTTTTCAATTTATTTAGATGCACTCAATTATAAGGTTTAGTTCTTATTGACGGTATGATCATTTCGCACCTTTGTACGTGACTTTTCATATGGTAACCAGAAATATGCCGATGGCGATTGACGGTCCATTCAAAACCGTCCATGATCTTGCACAGCTCGAAGGGTTAAACGGGAGCGCATTCCTTACTTACGTTATCGTTCTTTTCCTTTTCGGCGAAAATAAATATCAAGAATGAGTTTGCTCGGCAAACTTCGAATTACTTGGTCCACGCTCGCTGGCTGATAATTAATCCCTTTTGCGTTTCCAGGGCTCGGTTGACTGTTTTATCCGCATCTTACATTTTGTACGACTAGTAGATATGTTACGATTATTTCACTAGGCTATCCCCGTATGTTGGGAATTGTGCGAAATTTGTGAAATAGCCAATTTTCTGCGTCCTCGATAACTTCGAGGTGCATCGCTCCAGAGCTCGTCTATGTCCACTAAAATACGATGTTAAAAGACTTGCGGAAAACTAATTCGCCATGGAATAGTTCATTAAGCTCATTAGGTTCGGTTCTCCCCTCGTCGCCATTTTTTATATCAAGCGTTTTTATACATTCGGATTTAGTTAGGACTTTTATTGCTGGACATGGAGGCTTTGTTGGGCGACACCAGATTCGTCGGCGATTCGTTTGCGTTTCTCTTAAGCGGAAAAGAAATGCAAGCCCTACGGATGGAACGGCAACCGTAAAAAGAAAAAGAAAAAGAAGAAGTGATTCATTCCACTTTGCGCATTTCTCGCGATGACAGCGCTGTATTCCGACTTTGTATTTGTACACGACTATTGTAGCGTTGTTTTGTGATTACGGCACTTTCCTTTATTGCATTATTTAGCGGTGGCACGTGCCTATTTTATTGTAATCGTAATTACGTATGAGTGTATGTGAATCCGTACCGAATGAGACAAGAGTGAATTTTGCTTTCGCGTTGTTGGCCACCCGTAAATTATGTCGGCCGATGATCGGACACTTTGTCAATCTCACATATCACAGAAGTAATATCGACTAGGGTGAAATAACGTGGCGTGTTTCTAGGACAAATGTTTCCTTGATGGATGTATACGTTTAAATGAAATAATCACTTAAATAATTGGCATATGTAACGAGCTGACCAATTTGGCAATAAGTGCAATAATCTCAGGGGTAGAGAGAGGATACTTGGTTCTTTGGACCGAATTTAGTTTTGGAGAGTCAAGGTTTAGTAGAAGAAAAAAAAAACAAAACAAAAATAACATGGAGTTCTTGACTGAATTTGGCTCGAGGAACCATCCATTTTACGAGCTTGACTGGTCTTACCTTTTCTGGTCTGATATTGATTAAACCAGTTGGTGATAAAATAGATGATTTAATGAGATTAACGTATTCACGATACGTGTTTGTATAGGTATAATATTTGTATGGGTCATATCGTCAAGGCTATTTGTTCAGGAAGTATTTGTCAAAGAAATAAGCTGCACCTATGTTCGAAATGTCTGGGAACATGAAACGAGAAGAACTTATAGTACCATTTAAACCTTCCTCACGCGACACTTCTCTCCTGAACATTTTTTCATTTTAGTAATTTATTAATACTATCGTCAATAGAGTCCGAACTCAATGAAGTGATCGATGTCGAACTTTATCGGTAACTTCGAATGTAATTAAATTTAGTTACAAGGATGACGGTAGAAAATTAGTACTTTTAGGCAGAAGTTAAGTCTATCAAAATTCGCCCCAAGAGTTATAGTTTCATAGTCTCTAGTGTTTTCAAATTAATGCAATACTTTATTACTAGCTCCGTTATTAGATACATTTGGCGCGAAACTCTACCAAGTTTCTAAATTTCTTTCCAATTTCATTACCAACAAGGAGAGAACATTGAATCTCATCGAGTGAGGACGGTTTAGTCGCTACTCACATTTTGACAGAGTTTGGCCGAACTTGGGCCACTAGGACGATTCTCCGTTACTCGGAGAGTAATTCTACGAATACTACACGTACTACAGAGTTCCTCGCTTCAACCAATTTAATTAATCGTAATCATAAAGAAGGGCGACGAGTTGCGAGTCGCCAGTCACAGCGTGTAACCTGTGATCTAGCTGTAAAGACAAATATGTGATTAAATTAGTTAAGCCGATAGGACTGAAGGACATTACTTATTATGTTAGTGCCTGAGAGAAATATCACGGAGCTGTGCAAGCCAGACCAAAACCGGACGTGTACCCGTGGTTTTCGTTAGCAACGATCTTTTTCCTTCGTCCGAGAACGATGTCGAGGAAAACCCACAGAATCGCAAGAGAAACGCTCGTAACTTGATGAATATACGCGGCCGGTAAACTCTGGTGCCCCTCTGCAGCCTTCAGCGCTGCCTACTGGAGGCTATTATTTTTATATTATAATTAACGACTAAATGTCGCAAACGATGAAGCGAACAAAAAAAAATGAACGATGAAGAAGGAACGAGCTGCCACGCGATTCGGCAGCTTCTCTCGCCGGGGCGGTTATATCGTCCTTGTATTATACTCTGTCTACGGTAGGGACGTATTGTCATTGTGCGATTATCGTTTTAACTCGGTACACCCACGATCGCAGAGATACACAATTGTACATAACGACGTCGCGGAATATTTAAATAGTTTTAATGTAAATACAGTACACATGTAACGAACGCGCGATAACGTGATATATGATACGAGGAATAATAAAGTGAAATTACATTGATCGAGGGGTGTTGCCGTCTTTGCGTCGAATGATATTAAACGAGATGCCAATTTTCAGTATTTATTGAAACTAATATTCATCACGTACAGGGATATTCTTCGACAATAGATTAATTTTTAATGGGCATCGTTAAGAGCGACGTGTTGTCTTACTTTATTCTTTCTTTCTTATTAATAAATTTTCCATGCGGCTCTTCGAGGTGGAAACTTTGACTTGCGAACAAAGTCATGATCGACCGATCAAAGGGGACACAACGAGTCGAATGATTTTCTATTTTTCGCGTACCCAATCCCTAACCAATTGTGTGCAACGTTGTGTAACGTACTTGGATGGGCGCAAAACATTCTGGTGGTTTGAACGTAAATTTAGACCTGCGAAAACGACGATTAAACCAGTGCCTTTTGAAAAGGCTGCCCTCGGGTTTCTAATCGGCATGACGGTTTTCTTCGTGTTGGTGGGATACGGTTCGAATATTACAATATTACCATTACCATGGTACCAACTGAATAAGCGTGGTGTCCGTTCCGGATTGCGTCTGATCGGCGGACGTAACTGCAATTTGGTGCCATTATTTACTTCTTCCGGGGCTGTTCTGCTTCGATAATCATGAACTGATTGAGTGGGTTTATTTTCAAATATTAAATAATCGAGAGAGCTCGAATTTTAATGCATAATAAATGTAATTTCAGCCGTAAATATCTTTTAAATTGAAATTCAGGAATTACTTTACGAATTGCGATCAATTGTCGAATGCTACTGCAATTGAGTGTCATTATTTACTTCTGTTTGGACATTCTGCATCGATAATTATGATCTGATCAGGTGAGTTTATTTTAACATTAAATAATCGTGAAAGCTTGAATATTGGTAATTAATGGATGTAACATTAATCGTTAGTCTGAATTGGACGATGAATTACTGTCGCTTATAAAGTTTCAGAGTATTTAGATGGAAATACCTGAACGCGGAAAAATATCTTTAGGGAAGCGGGTTAGATCCCCCCCCCCGCCATTAAAAGATGAATCGCGTATCGAGGAACATATCAATTACAGGGTCCTTCTGCGATTACAATCGTTCCTAATAATAGTATCGCCAGTCGTATATACGTAATTTCAGCAGAAAATGGGACGCAGCGCACTCTGGTGGTCCACTGTCGAACATTCATTTAAACCTTCATTACCATTGGTTACCAGTATAAAAGATGCATGAAATAGTGAAACGTTCTGAAGCGATTCCTGCATCTCTATATTGTGCTGCCTTCGGTGTCGAGTTAACGTCAGACGAACATGTCCTGTTTCCAGCGCATGCGCAAAGAAATACGTAAATATGTGTCGTTGCCGCTGATTTTGATCAGCGATCGACTTCACTTCCGCCACGTGCTCGGTCACACTACGAAATCGAAATTACATGCTTGTGTACCATCGAAGCGCGTATACAGATATTGCACAGCAAGGCACGTGATAAAGTGGTGTGAGATAGCATCTACGAAGAGCACAGTATACCAGCACCAGCGCGCTGCCGTCTCCTTTAAAAGTCCGCTGTGCCCCGAGTCCCACGCCAATCCTTCACATTCACGCGCGCTCGTTACGGGGAATTGTTCTGTAATTTTTTTCCCCCGTTATAAGACGTCGAAGGTAGTGCTGCAGCTGTAAAAATGATTCCCAACTGTGTAGCAAGCGTTGGCAGGCGGGCGACCCAACGAAACGTAAGTGCACCTAATCAAAAGACTCCGTTTTCCACGAATGACCTTTACCTCGACCCAGCCATTTGGATTGACATTACCGCCCAGATCTGATCTTCCGGCGCTTAAATTAATTCCTTGCTCTTTCTTTCCTGTCTGGTTCCTGACCAGTTCACCAGCTGGAACAAGGTAAATGGCTTTTGGACATAGGATTAATACTTGTCCTTAGATTGTCTAGCCATGGACTTGTACATTTTAGGTTTCTGTTCTTTCTTTTGCATTTCCGTTACTCTGCATGTCCTTAGGATTTTTATCAAAGAATTGGGAAAGTTGTGATTAGATTGTCCGTGCGATTAAAAGAAATTCATTTTCCAAAAGGGCAAGATTGGCTTTTATGATAGGCTATGACGTATCGTTTTTATAATTGAATCATCGCTGATCTTGTATGACTTTTCAGATTGTCTCCCTTTTCTTGCATAAAAAGAATAATTATGCAACTGAAGCAACCTTCGAAACTAAGCCCTTTCGCTTGCATAAACTGGAAAGTGGGCCATCAAACCAAGTTAAACTGACGAAAGAAGATGCATTAACTTATTATAAAAAATTACACACTGTTAGACGAATGGAGACGGCAGCTGGTAATCTGTATAAGGAGAAAATCGTTAGAGGGTTCTGTCATTTATACTCTGGTCAGGTGAGTTTGTTGTAAATGCACTTATTACAATTGAGTACCCATTTGGAGGTATATATTGATATTTCACTTTATTCCTTAGGAAGCATGTGCAGTTGGAATTACTGCAGCTCTTCGACCCCAGGATTCGGTAATAACTGCTTATCGTGCACACGGTTGGACTTTTTTAATGGGTGTAGAGCCTGTTGGTGTCTTGTCAGAACTCACGGGGCGACAAACTGGTAACGCTCGTGGAAAAGGTGGTTCTATGCATATGTATGCCAAGAATTTTTATGGAGGAAATGGCATAGTTGGTGCACAAGTCAGTCCGAGTTACAAACTGGCGATTACAGTCATTTTCAAAATTGTAGCACGAAAGGCATGAAAAAATATGCTTCATTTTTAGGTGCCCTTAGGCGTTGGTATCGCTTTTGCTCACAAGTACATGAATACCGGTGGAGTATGCGTAGCACTGTATGGTGATGGTGCAGCTAATCAAGGACAAATATTTGAGGTCTATAACATGGCCAAACTCTGGGACCTTCCTTGTATTTTCGTCTGTGAAAATAATGGTTACGGTATGGGTACCAGTGTAGAACGTGCCTCTGCCAGTGTAGACTACTATACTAGGGGGGATTATGTCCCTGGAATTTGGGTGAGAAATGTTTGCTGACATGAATATAAACAATGTCTTATAAAACACTTGTTACTAATCATTCAATTTTGACAGATTGATGGCATGGACGTGCTGGCTGTTAGAGAAGGTGCCAGGTTTGCAGTTGATCACTGTACATCTGGAAAAGGTCCCATTGTCCTCGAGGCTATGACATACAGATACAGCGGACACAGTATGTCAGATCCAGGAACTAGCTATCGTACAAGAGAAGAAATTCAAGAAGTGCGTCAAACACGCGATCCCATCACAAGTTTCAAACAGAGAATTCTTGATGCCAATCTTGTTACAACGGAGGAGCTCAAGGTTTGTTGAATATTCATGTTCATTAATTTATATCGTATGTGTGAGATTTGTCAGAACTCGCTTTTTCTCAGGGTTAAAGGCTTTTTACCATTTGAATATCATATTTATTTATTTATTTGTAATTTCTTTTTAGAACTTTGTGTATCCGTATGATTAACAATACCGTTTCAGTTGGTACATTATCTAATGTATGCTATTCTTCTATAACAAATATGTTAAAACATACTGTAGTTTAAACACACAGGTTGTGTCTCAAGTAATTTCGATTCAGACATTCAGAAAATTAATGAAATATCTGGTACATATAAAATATTTTTGTACTTTTAAAACTTATCTTAACATGTCCGTTTTCGTTTTAGAAATTGGAAGCCGACATCAGGAAACAAATCGACGATGCTGTAAAGTATGCCAAGGCAGACAAAGAAATTCCTTTGTCAGAACTAACAACCGATATATACGTGAATTGTTTAGAAAAGGAAATTCGTAACGTCACGCCTTTCAACCCGTTACCTCATGCCAGATTAGGACCTGCGATTAACGCCTGAATCTTTAGATCGTATTAGGAAACTTCAATCTTTATAGATTAAATCTCGGATGCCTAGTATTTATTTGGAGGACATTTCCCAAGCTCGTCGTCGGCACTGCAACAGTTGCAAACTTCTTGATGATAATCGACGACGGCGAATGCCGAAATAACGCTAAATAGTCGATTAATCGAATAGCCACAAGGAGATACAAATAAGGCCATAAACATTCGTTGTACAAAGAATTTCTCAATACTGGTATTGTAAACAGCTAGCAAACAAGAAACCGAAAAAATTGGGCAATAAGATACACAATTTTTCTAGAATTATTCAAGAAATATGGAATTTTGACAATTATTTCTTAATGTACAGAATGTGTTTATTGCATGTAATGTATATAAAAGGAAGTATCTTTCTACATTTGTTTTAAGGCTTTGAATCGGGAAGTTGAATAGAAAAGTAGGATAAGCATTCGAAGATAATGCATACAATGTTTTATATGCTGAGTGGATATTCTGTTGTGGAACGTTTACAATTTCTTATTCATATAACTGTTTTACGAACACCGATCGATTGAGCCTATGGAACGTGATCTATGCAATTTTTCTTTGTATCATATTTCTTCGAAAGTGGCCTAGTTTTAATATATCTCTGAATTGGAGTAGCTTTTTACGCTTAGCAGCTATTGAAAAATGCTGACGAGATCCTAGGACCAAGTGCCAAGGAATGCTACATAATTTCGAGTGAGGTCATTCAAATAGCGAACGCGTGTGGTCGCTTAGAAATTTAGGTGGCATATGCCACATAAATGAAACGGATATCTATGTACATATGTATATGTAAATTGCCTGTTAAATCATATATAACATTTTGTAGTTGACAATTCAAGAACTAAGCGATACATTTTAACATGTAGTTCGCGTACTAGTATAAAAGAAACGTCATACTTCTGTTGAATACTGTTTAAATATTTTTGAATGGAAGGATTTAACATCGATAGTTATTTTCCCTATTAATGTTAACGGGTAATTAATTGTATGAGCAACTAGGTAAAAAGTAAGTACAAAATGTAGGGAACGCCATGGTTGTCGCGTGCGCGAGATTTTTATTGTTGAAATTACCACTGAATATGCCATTTGCTTAAAATTGTACATACAACAAATAAGGTAGTTACCTGTACAATATCATGTAACCAATTTTAAGTATCTTCAAAGTTAAGTGGATGTGACCACCGTGGTGCAGTGTATAATTATCAGATGTAAACCTTCTAAATTACAAGGATTAAATATCTATTAATATTAGTTGCCTTTTCTAATCATTTACGTATATTTATTTTATAAATTAATTTCTATAACACTTCTACATACGTGCTTCAGTGGTTTGGGGTATTATAAAACGTATTTTCAAGATTTATCTACAAAATGGAGTTTTAGTTATGCCTCATTAATCAGGGAGGCACAATTTGATTACTCTGTGAAAATGCTAATTTTGACTTAAGATGGTGCAGATAAAAGTTATCAGTATTGGGTGACGATTGTCTCACAATCAAGGCAGTCGTAAAATCGACTGGACAAAATCCTGGAATTACACACATACAGAAATAGATGAATTACAATATTACCCCGAAGTGGAATTTTATTAACCTGTGTTTACTTTCTTTTGACTCATTACTTGTCCATGTATGATAATAATGATTAACATTGTCAGACAATACTATTTCCTTATTCCACTTACCACCATTAATCTTGCCAGCTAGCAGATTTTTAATAAGAATTCCGGCATTTTTTTAAGATACTTAAATTATTGATTTCGGTAATAATGCAACATTGAATCAAGAACCTATTTTTGCACCTAAAGGCTGTGGTCTGAAGTTACGCTTCATTCTTTTTTTGTTGTTGTTCAAATAGACGTTGTTCCCTTTCCCTTCGTTTTTGCTTTCTTAACGCAATAGTTGGGTCTCCAAATTCTTTAATAGTTTCTTCTTCCCAACTACTGGTGTTATCCTCTCATTCACCTAGTTTATTTTAAAGATACATATAAGATTAATATGACAGGAAATAATTTCAGTATTTTTAATAATTAATATCTTTTAAAACTGTGTGTTTACCACAGGCACAGGATGAATATAAATAGAAACGGCAAACTTTGAAGTACCGTTATTAGGCTCAGTCCCACTTTTCTCCTTAATGAGCACTCGAGTGTTTGGTTATTTTTGGAGTCATGTCCTACAATTACTAATTATTAAATATTGCGGTCAAATATTCTTCTATGCTGTGGGATTTATGGACTCTTATTTATAGAACTTATTACCTTAAAGAAATTTAATGAATTCTCATCTGGAGGTATCGCCGGATTGGATATCTGTTGACGATATTGCTCGATTTTGGTTTGTATTATATTTGGTGGCTTGTCTGGAATGACAATGACTGGGTTTTCTTCCCAGTGTTCCCATTGATCTGAATCCTAACCAACATATTATATCGATATGTCATCCAAAGAATTTCTGCTTATAGATTTTATAAACAAATGCTTACCCCGGAGCTGTTTACAACACTAGGCACCACTCCCACCGCAGAGAGGGGTACCGAATCACAAGACGATCTTCGTCTTCTCCGAAGACAACATAAGGCACGCTTAAATGCGCCCAATAGAAGTACAAAAACGGCCTTCAGTCTATTTATCAAAAACTCTATTGCCATTTTATTTTACGTGACAGATAGGTGCCGTTGTATAAAACGGTCTAACCTCACTTTTACGACAAATGCTAACACTACGAATTCACTAACCGAATTTCCGTTAGTGAATTCCCTTTTACATTAAGAAGGATATTCGTTAACTTTACATCTTTATTTTCTTCTTGTTGTCCATTAGCTTGTAAACAACTTGGGACAACCTGACATATGCTTCTCATTAATATCTCTTAACATTGACTTGCACTACACCCCCTTCGTTGCTCTGTGCAACCCAGTGCTACCCTTTGCTGTCGGTTGTCATTGCATGTAGCTACCGACTGCATTCTTAAATCAACGTTAACACAGAGATGAGTTGGGAGATTGCTTATGGGCAGCAGGGGGCTGACACTCGCATGTTATTCTTCGAGACTAGTGTTTGCAGCGACCTCTGGATCAATAGTACCGGAAGTATGAACTAGTAAATTTCCCGCCATAAATTTAAATTGAATGAAATTCAGAAACTGTTATTTAAGAAAAAATGATCTAATATTACTGTAAAGTTTGCAGTTAATAAGG